TCAGGCTTCAGATGAATGTCCCATCAAGTAGAAGAGGTAACTCATTTTCCTCCCTGCCGGTTCTCTTTCTTCACTCCCTACTGAGCCCAGAGTCAGAAAAACAGAAAGGTGCAAAGAGTAAAATTATTGCAACTTTATTGACTTCCCATCTTGGATATTCAGTATTTAGTGATAATTGGCTTTTATAAGAACATCCTTGACTGTCGTAATTGCCGTTAAATGGATAAATGGAGTATAATAAAAAATCTATGATGGTTCTAGCTAAATTTGACATTAAAATTTGAGTCAGTATTTCTCTTGTAGGTGTTCCATGGTGGGCTTATGTTTATTAGTATCTAGGATTCTTGTTATGAAAATTTCTGACTTGCCAGTATTCTGTTCAGATTAGAAAGCCGTCGGGTTCTTGGCAAGGACGTAAGGCCCTCCCAGGGAGTTTGGGGAACTAGGAGAAGCATTTTGCGTTGTTCCCCTTGCTGAGGCACAGTGCTCGATTACACGTGGCCGAGAGCAGTTGTTCTGGGAGTCCCACGCCACACATCGCCTCTTCTTGTTGGATCCTGCCGAGAAATGCTGAACTAGTTAAGTATTTCTATTTTATAGCTACAAAAAAAGGTAGAGAAATTTGAGTCTAATAGTGGAAAAAAGACAAGAGTAATGCTGAGAAGCTGGAGGTAAGAAAGAAGCAAGGGAGAAAAGTGACAATTCTGCTTGTAATGGTATGTGACAATTTTTTTTTTTTTGGCCTTTTGAAATAATTTTAGATTCACAGGAAGTTGCAAAGATAGTGCAGTGAGGTCTCGAGTGTGCTTCCTCCTGGCTCCCTAGTGGCACGACTGATATACCTTTTAGTAGGATGTCAGGGATGTGCCAGGAGTGCATATGGCTGTGCGGTACTTGTGGTCACACACGTAGATCATGTCGCCGCCACTGCAGTTAGGACACAGCTGTCCCATCTTACAGATCTTGCTCAGACTCCTCTCCTGTCATCTGAAGAAGATTACATGAGGAAGTCATAGTTCTGCTGAGTGACAGTCCATGGTCCGGACATAGTCCAGTTTGCTTAGCTGCTCATCTGCTGTAGGATATTTTGGTTATTTCCAATTTTGGGGGAAAAGAAAGTAGCTATGAACAATTGTGAACAGACTTTTGCATGGACATAAGTTTTTATCTCTTTGGGATAAATACCTAGAAGTACAATTGCTGGCTAGCATGTTGAGTGCGCGTTTGGTTTTTTAAAGAAACGGCCAGATTGCTTTCCTGAGTTGGGTGGCTGTACCATTTTACGTTTCCGACAGCAGAGTAGGAGAGACCCAGCTTCTCTGCATCCGTAGCATGTCCATGTCATCTTCAGTGAAATGTTTCTTTGTGTTTTTTCCTCGTTTCTAATTAGATTGGTTTCTTGTTGAGTTTTGAATTTTTAAATGTATTTTGGATATGAGTCCTTTGTCAGATAAATGGTTTGCAGATATTTTATCTGGTTTGTACTTCTCTTTTTGCCTTCTTAGAATCTTTCACAGAGGAAAAGTTTGTAATTTTGATGTCATCAATTTTTTATATCTTTTGTTTTAGGGATAGCACTTCTGCTGTCGTTTCTCAGAACTCTTCACTGAGCACCAGGTTCTAAAGATGTTTGTCTGTGTTTCTTTCTAAAGTTTTATAGCTTTACATTTTTCATTTCAATCTATGGCCATTTTGAGTTAATTTTTATAGGAGATGTGCAGTTTAAGTCCTTTTTTTGCCTATGGATATCCAATTACTCCAGCACCATTTGTTGAAAAATCTATTTTGTTCCATTGACCTGCTTTTGCATGATTGTGAGGCATCAGTGGGGCAGGCTTGTTGGCTGCTGCTTCATTCTGTTCCATTGATCTAAGTCGCTGTGTCCCCCGAAGCTCCACACGATCTACATTACTGTAGCTGCATTACAAGTCTTGCAGTCTGGAAGTTTGATTCCTCTCATTTTATTGTCCTCTTTCATAGTTGTGTATTCTATCTTTTGCCTTTGCATATACATTTTATTTTGTGTTTCAGGGTTTTTCATTTTTGTTTTTGTGGCACTGGGAGTCAAAACCAGGGCCTCATGCATGCTAAGCACATGCTCTATCCCTGAGCTATACCCCAGCCTGGAATAAATTTTAAAATAATCTTGTCTGGGTCTACAAAAATCTTGCTGGAACAGTTATAGGATTTACGTTAAACTTGTATACCAGTCTGAGGAGAATGATTTGCCACGTGGAGAATTTTCATCCACGATCATAGTGTGTTTCTATCTAAGGTAGTCTTGGTTTTTTTCAGCTGCATTCTAGTTTTCAGCACACAAATCCTACTTGTTTTATTAGCTTGACCTTTGTGTCTTGTTATGCATATCTAAAAGTGAACCTTTATATTGATTTTTTTTTAATAATTGTATATGGCACTGTAATCTTAATTTCAGTGTCCCTGTGTTCCTTGCAAGTGTATAAAAAGTACTAGCCGGGTGTGGTGGTGCCCACCTGTAATTCCAGCGCTTGGGCGGCAGAGGTTGCAGGATTGCTGTGAGTCTGAGGCCAGCCTGAACTACATACTGAGTTCAAGGCCATCTGAACTATATGGTGAGACCCAGTCTCAAAAAAAAAAAAAAGGTAGATTTTTGTATGTTGATCTTCTGTTGTGACCTTGCTGGATTTGCTTTTTGGTTCTAGATTTCTGTAGTTTCTTTGGGCTTTTCTGTGTGCGCCCTCCTGTCTCCTGCGAATGCAGGACCTTACTCCCTCCTTTCCCATCTGTGCCCTGTGCATTTCCCTGGCCGGCTTCTGCGCTGTGTAGCCGTCCCACCCTGTGTGGGGTCCTGTGCCTCCTCGCCCCACTCCTGGCCCAAGCGAAGCCTACAGTCCTTGCCAGCTGTGTAGGTAGGACGCTGTAGGGTTTCGGTAGGTGCTCTGCGGGAGGTTTTGCAGATCCCACTCTTCTGAATTTTCTGAGGTTTTTTTTTTTTTTGTTATGGTAGGTGTTTAATGTCTCAAATACTCTTGTGCAGCAATTGAGAGAATAATATGACTTTTCTTTTTTATCCTGTTAATATAGTTCTTGCAATTAATGCCATTTGATCATGATATAAATTGTCATATATGTTGTTAAATTCTATTGGTTGACATTTTGTTGAAGAGTTTTGCTTCCATATCCCTGAGGAATATCAGCTTGTGGTTTTCTTTCTCCTACACTATCTTCGTCTTGGGTTGGTATCTTTTCTAAATTTGTATGAATATATATTTAGGTGTCATGTTTATAGATGTCTACTTCAAATATGAAAGAAAGTAAATAACTTTACAATAAAATATTAGACTCAGTCTAAAACTTTGCTTTTTATAAGTAAGACTTACTTGCTTTTTATTTTTTTAATTTTGGCTGGTATATAGTGATTATATATATGTATATATATTTATGAGTTATAGTGTGATATTTTCATCCAGGTTTGTGTTAAATAATCACCAGATCAAAGTAACTATCCATATCCTCAAATATTTATCATTCTTTTATGAATCCTGTCTCCTAGCCATTTTACAGTATTCAATACCTTATTGTTCATGATAGTCACCCTGCTGTGCATGCAGTAGAACACCAGAACTTATTTTTCCTTTCTAATTAAAACAGTAAGTTGATTGGCTGACTGCTTCCTGTCCTCCTCACCTTCCTTTGCCAGTTTTGGGTGACCAGTTTTATTCAATACTTCTGTGACATCCACTTTTCAATTCTATGCATAAGTGAGATCATGCAATATTTATCTTTCTGTGTCTGCCTTTTTTCACTGCACATCACGTCCTCTAGGTGCATCCGTGTTGTTACAAATAACAGAATGTCATTCTTTTTTATGGTTGAACATTACCCTATTTGGTCTATGGACAGAACACATTTTCTTCATCAGTTCGTTTATTGTTGGATACACCAAGGTTGATTCTGTATGTTGGCTATTGTGAATAGTGCTGTAGTAAACATGAGTGGAGATACCTCTTCAGCATACTGATTTCCTTTCCTTTGGCCATGTACCCTGCAGGGGGTACCTGGGCCATGTGGTCGTCCTGTTGTTAGGGTTTGAGGACTCATCATACTGTTTTCCATAATGGCTGTGCAAACTTACATTCCCACCAACAACACTTAAGTGTTTCCTTTTCTTCACATCTTTGCTAAAACTTCACTGCTTTTACGTAAACATTTCAATTTTGAGTAAATAATTAAAATATATTTTCTATTAAAAAATCAACAAAATTCTACCAAGAGTTAATTATTTTTAGGTTACTCAGATTGACTGACTGCATAAATTATATCAATTTATTTTAAATGGAGGATAACTGTGTACCAAATATCTTAATAAAATCTTAGTGAACTAAACATAGCTTCAGGAAAATAGTATTCTAACGTCTGTTTTTAGGCAAGTTTTATTTCAGAATTTGAATGGATACATGCCTTCTTGTCTTTAATCTCAGAATTCTGTAGATCAGTTGTATATTACACAGAATCAAAACCAGTGTCACTAACCTGAGGCCTTTCTGTTTTTTGCCAGTAGTGAGAAATTGTGGTATGGATTTATATCTAAGCTTCATAGTATGTTTAATGTTTACGGCTTATTGCTAATGAATAAGATATATGCATTCTGCACACTCATACATAGATATATTGCATGTGTGTGCAATGTTTTAAAAAGCTCTCTTCAGTAGTATCCAGTAGATGCCAGAAACTGCTCCTGGTGAATTTTTAATGTTAGTCAGTAGGTGAAAATTTAAACTGATGATTTATGTTATGATTATATCTTGTTGAAATGACCAAAGATACCTGAAGTGATTATTTTTCAACATGCTTGGCATTGCTTGACAATCTAAAACACACGTAACTTAGCATGTATTCTACTGATCTTCTGATAACTATGGGAAACAAAATATACTTCACAACATATTTCAACGAATGTTTCTGTGCACACTTTTTAGAAAGGAAAAGTTCCTTTGTTTCACTGTGTTCTCATTTTACAGGATCCAAGCCAAAACTCGAGAATTTAGGGAGCGCCAGGCTCGGGAGCGTGACTATGCTGAGATCCAGGATTTTCATCGGACGTTTGGGTGTGAGGACGAGCTGATGTACGGGGGAATGGCTTCCTATGAGGGGTCCCTGGCTCTCAGCGCCAGACCACAGAGCCCGCGAGAAGGCCACATGATGGATGCTTTGTATGCACAAGTGAAGAAGCCTCGCAACTCCAAAGCTTCCACTGTGGACAGGTAGGCTCGGAGCAGCCCCAGGATTGCTTCTGAATCCTCTTTTACGTAGCCTTTGACAGCAGACTACTGTGGATTGCTCCTCAGTCCTCAAGCCTGAGCCCCTGTTATTAACAGCCTTTAAAAAGCCATTGTGTCTGAAAGTATTGAGTTTACACAAATCGAAGCCTAATGGAAAGAGCAGCGAGTGGTTTTGATAGTTTTTCTAATGATTCCAACATATTTCATCCTGTTCTTCAAATGGTTTCAGACCTGAGAACTCGACTACAAAGCTGACTGGAAATTATGGCTCTTCTGCTTGAGCAATATTTGCTTTCATTGGTAGGAGAGCTTCCAGTTGAGGTAATTAAATAGATGGAGAATGGCATGATTTATTTCAGTTCTGATTTAGAAGGGCCACTCTTTTTTTGGTGCCATAATTCGATATTATGAAAGAATTAGTGAATGAGAAATATAGTAGAGGCGGTCTTCTAATGACTTGTGAGCAGCCATGGAACACAGCTATGGATTTACGTTTATTGGTATAACATGCAGGAGTACAGTGTTGACTATATTTTAATGACTATTTTAAACTTAAAATTTGAAAGTTTATTTAAAATTTAACTGACTCTGGCTTTATATTTATTAGCTATGTACTTATTAATGACTATATAGTATTGGCTGTATATTGATTTCAAATCGCTATCTAAATATTTCAAATTTTAACAGGTAGTTTTTTTAGACAGGTTCTTTCTATGTAGTTTGGGTGGGCTTGAACTTCCTATGCAGCCCGGGCTGATCTTGAACTCATGGCAGTCCTTTTGCTTCAGCCCCCTCAATGCTATAATTAAAGGCATGTGCTACCATGCCTAGTCAGAAACAATTTTAAGCAAATCTTTTCCCATCCTTCAATTTGTGTATTCAAGCACCATATGGAGTTTAGCTCATGAAGTAAATAATACTCATTGCTTTTTATATCAAGCATATGCATGATATTGTCTTGAATAATACACTAATCTTGTTATCATCCTGGCTCTATAGGAGCTGGGCTTTGTGCATTATAAGTGCTTTCATTAAAACCAGTGGTTCCCAGGCTGTAGTCCATCAGGATTGTGTGAAGGGCTTCATAAAACACCAATTGATGGATTGTCCCCTAGAATTTTGACTTAGTAGGTTGGGGTTAGAGTCCAGGAATTTACATTTCTTATAAATTCCCAGGTTTGATGCTGGTACTGCTGGTCCCGGGACTTTAAGAGCCCTTGCGGGGCAAGAGAGATCCTGGAATAATTCCATCTATGGCCACAATGTCTTACGCAGTCACTACGGTTTCACATGTGGCCTGTATTTTAGTTCCACACTTCTAGCTGTTTTTAATAGAGATTTACAAATGTTAACAGATAACTCTCAGGTAAACTCAGAAGGAAGCATTTTTTAAAAAAAATACCAAATGGAAGGAGAAGAACCCAGCAGATGAAGAAGTGGATCTTAAGGTAATCCTCTAGCCAGATGATTACTCTATTTCCTTTTCTGGTGATTGTGTTTTAGATTTTCTTTGTTATCTTAGAAAATCTATTGGTGTTGACTATAATGAGTGAAGAAGTTCGTACTGGAGGCTTAGGGTTTATTTAAATCCTTTGGTGACATCACCTGGAAGGTTCATGTGCTTATTGACAAGACAGATACATCAGGACTCAAAGAATGAAGTTATTATCAGCGACAGAGACATTTTCCTTAAAAGCGTTTTACTTGGTTTCTGCCGTATTTGTGAAAGTTGCTTGTAGAAGGTCAAACTGCATCAGAAGGGCATGAATGTCCCCTTGAAAGTGTTTTTTTGTGTGTGTGCCAGGAATTGAACTCAGGACCTTGCGCTTGCAAGGCAGGCGCCGGAACCACTGAGCTGACTCCCCAGCCCTTGAATGTGTTTTCTTGGGAGAAAGCACATCAGAAACATTGATATTACCAGTCAGTAACCTTTGCAAGAACTTAAACAAATTGCCAAGGATGTAGCTCAGTGGCACCGCACCTGCCTGACAAGCATGAGGTCCTGAGTTCAATTCCCGGTACGAAACTTAAACAAATTAGTTGATGAAAGCCCTCATCACTTCACACATTGCATGTCTAGCTCAGAAATCTAAAACCCATCGCTGCTCCTGTAGCAGGTACTCATGTAGCTTTGGGGTCCCACCCAGCCAGAGCCAGAGTCAGAAGGGATTGCCCTGCTCCCAATTACCAGAAATGACTACTTTACACCCCAGTGCCCTACAAGACTCCAAATCTCCCTGGAAGATCCTGTAGATTTTCAAAATGGCATCTGCGCTTGTAACTCTCTGTGGTCCAGGCCAAGGCATCCCTGACTCAGCATCCTGCAGGGTCTCTACTCTGTAATGCTAACCCCACTGAAACAGCCTCCTGCCTCATTTCCATCAAACATGCACTCAGCAGAACCCCGAGGAGACTTCAGTCATGGGGCTGAGTGGTACCAAGCAGTAAAGCACGCAGAACCATGCCTCCGAGACCGCTGTATTCGAAAGCCCCCATCAGCCTTACCCAGAGAGATATAATTTATTTTTTTTTTTAAAAAAGATTACAGAAATGTAAATTTAGTTTTTTAATTACTATTTTTATAGAGAATAAGATATACATTAAACAGTGAATGATGACACTAATTAAAAACTTGGGAATTACTGCACCTGTAAATTACTTCTTTACCTACCTAACATTGAATTTGGACTTGGCTTGAACATAAGTGGCGTCACCTCTGTTGTCTCTTCTGTCTGCGAGGAAGCTGTGGGAAGCATTTCTCAGACTTGAGCAGTGTAGGAACTCTTTTTTAAAAGGAAAGAAAATCTCTTGATTCTGCAGTAGCAGTTTAAATTGTTTTGATTATAACATTACTTAAATATGTATTAAAATAAAATAGGACTAAACCTCTTCTGTTTATAACCATTATACAACTATAAAACCAAACATCTTCACAAAATTAAAGACAAACAAAATGGCAAAACCATTACATTCAAATGAACAGCATTAATTTAATGTGGCCAGCAATACTTTTTTAAGAGCCTAAACTCTTACACAAATCACAGATGTGGTGGTGGCTGCTACATGGCAGGCTTGTTTAAGTTTGTTCGTCTACCCCCACAAGCCCTAGTGCTGACTCCATTTGCCTGTCACTTTCCTCCAAATTTCTGTGGTGCCAGTGAGCATTCACGCATGACAGACTGTGGCCTGCCCGTTATATAACTGCATCATTTATGCATGAGGTACAGCTCACTTCTATTATCATGAAGTTGAGACAGTGACAGTAGCATTTCTTGGTGCCTTCATGTTTGTAAACTTAAATTCGGACAGTGAAATAACATGCCTGAAAGATGATCTAGAATATATTTATATTAACTTACAGAAATCATTCCAGTGAAAATACTAAACTTGCAAATCCTCAGAGATTATTTCTTGCAGAAACAATATACAGCCTCCTTTCAACTGACTAAATGTCACCAAAATTTGCAATTGGTGTCTGATAAAATTTAGTATTCAAATTTTTGGGTTTCATGGGTGCATAGGGGAGGTAGAGAGCTGAGAGTCTAATGTGTACCCTGCATCTCTTCTTGGAATTTCTTTATTTGATAGGAAAGCTGTGAAGCATTTCATTTCTTAATCGTTCTGACGGATCTCATAGTCAGAGGTGTGGGTTCTGTGGCTCTACTGGAAGCAACCATGAGTAATTTATTAAATGCTATGAATTTATTGTCAAAATGGGGACGCTTTTTCAATTTGCACGTATCATTTATAAAATGCTTTCTATAGGATGCCATCATACTACGTCTACAAATGTCTTCATGCCTGTTTAATTTTATTGACACATGGGCCTTTATTGGTTATGTGCTTTTGCCACAGTGCCATTGTTATTACTGTTTATTAAGGTCCTTGGTAATGCTTTCACTTTTCGTGTCGGGTAGAAGAGAGAAGTGAACCTCATCCTGTGTTTTGTATGAATAATGAGGCCGAAACTCACAAAGATGTTATTTTTGTTCTGCTTGTATCCAGGGACCTCAAAGATTTTGTCTTTGTAACTGATTCACAGTCTTGAATTTCTTTGGCAGGAGTACACTTCCTGTTTGGTTGTTGCATCTCGGGAGCCTGATACGGCACTGTCTCGCCTGACCCATGCCTGTTCTCTCCTTCCTTCATGAGCCCAATTTTGTTCAGGCTGACAGTGCCCGTCTGAAAGCTTCAGTTTCCTAGGCTCCCTTGCCCTGAGAGGTGATCCTGGGGCACACTGCTGGCTAATAGGAGCTAGAAGCCGCTCTGCAGTTGGGGCTTTCTGCAAAGCTCACTTTTCCTGATTCAAATGGGGCTGGGCTGGAGGTGCAGCTCAGTGATAGACCCTGGTCTTGCATGCTCAGGGCCCAAGGTTTCCAGCCCAGCACTGGAAATAAAAGCTAAAACGAAGTGCTGGCTTTTTGGCTTTTTCCCACTGATGTTTTCCCTCTCTCTCCTGCATGTTGGGTGGGCGCTCCCAGGTGGGGTTTTCCTAACAAGCTTCAGGGGGAGGCCACGTGGATGAAGAGGGCAGCAGCGGGGCACTGGGCGGGTGGCCAACCTGGCCTCCCTGCTACCTCTGAAAGGTGAGCTCCTCCTTGCTCAAGTTGCCTGCCATGAGGTTTCCGTTTCTTGAGGCCAAACGGCACTCCGAATGTAATGAGCACACACGGAAGAGCCCGAAGGGAGTTGTCTTTTGACAGACTGTCTGCATGTAACTATCTCCTGGTCAAGTAATTTTCATATTTTGTGAAATGAAGTAATGGCCAGAATTTTCTAGTGTCACCCAGTTAGCTCTGCTGCCTTTCCTATTTTAAGCCTCCACGTTACCTACCATGTATCTGCTCAGCAGACGTCCTCCGTGACTTTTGAAGACACGTCTGTAACAGCGCCTCCCTCCGCGGACAGTGGCTGTAAGGCAGAGGCATTGCTGTCCCAGGTACCGGATGGTAACTGTGCGGCCAGCTGCTTGGGCCCAGTCC